GCCTTCAGCCTTTGTTTTTTTTTTTTTTTTTTTTTTTCCCCTCTAATTTAAGAAAGGGAAAAATAGTACGCTAGACTCCGCTGCTTCCCAAATGGTCCTTGTATTTTTACAAAAATAGGTTTTACAGTTCTTCCAGGTGCTGGGGAAAACAGCCACTCTTTGTCATGTAGAAAACTGGCTGATGAGGGTTTTCAGGAATGCTTTTGGTCAGCAGCTACAAAAAATGGTACCGAATACGTTTGTGGTTTTAAACCCTGGTGAGCTCAAAGGTGAGGATGGGCCTGCACTGGGGAGCAGAGCCCTCCTGCACCAGCTGGTTGGGGGGGGGGGGGGCAAGGTTGTAGATGGAGGAGTCCAGACAAGTAAGGCAGCGCTGCCTCTGTCTTCCTGAGCAGATGAAGACAATACAGTGTTTAGTTTTTAATTTCAATAAATTTAATATACAAAACTACATGTTGAAAATAAAAATATAATATGCAGTTTTTTGCAGTGTTAACTAACTGAATTTTAAAAGTACAATTTTTTTCTAAAACAAGTACTCATTTCTTAACAACATGGTAATTAAGGTCATTTAAAAGGCTATGGTTGAAGCAAACATGTCAGTCACCAGTTGATAGTGTTTTGCACAAACATAATCCAAACCTAAACGACTTTTGGGGCAAAGGAAGAGAAGATAACAGATCTTTCACCTCTTTTACTGCATTATTAAGCGTAACAATGCAACGAAGGTAACGGGAAAGCCGCTGCAGTGGCAAAGCTTGAGTGCAGGCTCTAGAAGGAAGATTATTACTTAGCTTATGGAACCGAGTGCTGCATCTTGCCTCCACCAGGTAGTGCTGCACTATGTGCCAGCAGCGGGGAGTCGGAAGGTAACCTTAGCCCTGCGGTGCTGCGCTGATCCCTCGGCGGGCTGGGGATCCTGGCAGAGCTTAAGCTTTGCCCAGCCTGAAACACGAAGTAAGCTGCATTAAGCCGGCCACCTTTTCCCAGGCGCCAGAGGGAAGGTTTCACTCTGCTGTAACACCCTCTGAAGTGGAGTCGTGTGCTACCTTGGGGCGGCCAGCTTTGGGGGCTGGAACTGGAGCCCAACTCTCTGGCCTGCTGGCTCTGGGTGGCGGGGGGTGACAGCTGCAATCTGCAGCATTGGGTTGGTCAGCCTTTGAAAGAGCAGTAGCCAGTTACTCACAAATGCACTCTGAACATAAACTGTGCTGCCTTTACATAAAATACATCACTGCGTGTACAGTTTCCTTTTCCTTTGCCCAGCCAATGCTGTGTGTTTGTTTAAAAACCACAGCGTCAGCCGCTGTAGCCATGCGCTCCCCTTTGCCTGTGAAAGGACGGCCGCGTTACACAGCGCAAACCCAAAGCCCTTCCCGCTGCGTCCTCCAGAACTGAGAGCCGGGACGATGCCAGGTCTGAGATACTGCGCTTGCCCCAAAGTAGCCCCTCTCTTCCCAGACTAGTTTTCTGTACAGATGGGAGGAGAAACCTTTGCGCCCCTCCTGGGAGGGACCTGAAGCTGCTGCTCTGCATGGCTATGCCTAAACAAACCAACCCCTTCTCCTGCCTTCAGCTCTTCCCCCTGGTTAGCAGCTTTCTGAGGAGACAGTAAAAATGTGGAGCCATGCTTCCTCTGGCCCATTCCCAATTCCAGCTTCGCAATGTCATGGCAGATGTGAGCAGCTGCTTTCCTCACTAAAGCCTTCTCAGGTGAGACCAAGAGCACTGGGCCAAGTGCAAGTGTTCAGGGCTGTCCAGAAAGCCTTTTTCAGCAGAACATGCAAAAACAGCCACTCTATACTTTTATCACAGATAAGCTTTTACATGGTGCTGCTAATATGAAGTGTGAGCTGTCTCGTATGACGTGACACTAGCATTACACTACAGCGTACAGTGAGGAGGAGACTTAGAGCAGCCCTGGGTGTTATGTTTCTTTAAAAAGCGGGACCTGCTGGGCAAGAGGAATGAGAGATAACTGCACTTTCAGGCTAACATTTCCTCTGCTTCTTACCGATTTGTAAACAAAGTACAGAGTAGCAGAGTTGTTCTAGGAGAGAATAGAAATCTGCTGAGGTGCTGGGTTTTGATAGCAAATGGAAGAAAAAAGTAAGCTAGCCTATTACACACACAAAACTGCAGTTTACGTGACACTGCTTTCAGAGAGACGCCTGCCCTGCTGCTCCCTGGGACGCACGTACAAGTTAGTTATGGCTAGGTAATCTGTCCTTATCGCTCAAGGGCTACCCCAAACGTACTTCAACCAATAATCTGGTCAAAACAATGTAAACGTTACTTTTCAATGTCTACAGAGTAACCACAAACAGCATTATGATGAGGTCAGAATGGAGGTCTCGATTGTTGTTTCTTACACGTCCATCTACAAACAATACAAGAGTGGAGTTTCACTTTTTATTTACGCCCCAGTGATCTTTGCACCCGTTTGAGCATTTAGAGTACATGACCGTTAAGTCTTTAAACATGAGCATTTTTTCTAAACAGTAACAGAAGTGTATTAGCTGCAAGGATAGCATAGCCATGTTGTAGTATAGAAGCTGCCCTGATCCTCTGTTTGTTGACAATGCATAGAAGATTTAGAATTATGGAACAACTGTCCCTCCCCCCTCCCCCCCTTCCCCCAATAGTGTTAACAAAAGCTTAATTTTCCAGTTTTAAAGTGCAAATGATTCAGATACAACTGCTGCTGGAACAGGTCTGAACAGAAAATGAAGTCCTCTTAGGAGATGTTTTCCAGAATATAAAAGAT